TTCTACTTTTTAAAATTACCATACTTTCCCTCAGCATTATTTTGAAATATTATAATATAAACTATATTAATTTATAATATTAATTATTTATAATATATTAATTTATAACCAAGCATTTTATATTTTCTGCTGCTATAGTGAAGAATATATGGTTTGCTTGTTGATTAGAAACACAATTGACCTGGGCATGGTGGTACATACTTGTAACCCCAGCACTGGGAAGGCTGAGACAAGAGGATTGTTGTGAGTTCGAGGCCAGTGTGGGCTACAGTGTGAGTTCAAGGCCACCCTGAACTGCACAGTGAAACTGTTTCAAGAAAGACAAAATCTCCGAAAGTTGATTATTAAATAAATATCTTTTATTCTGTTACCTTGCTGAGGCTATTTATTGTAATAGTTGCTCAGCATGCAATCATTCTGAAATTTTCCACTTATCTGCTTAATATTTCCAGCATTAAAACCTGTTTTGTATGCAATAATACAAGCTTTTTGTGTTCATAAAAACAAAATATATATTTTAAAATTTTCAACAGGATAATTTTCCTTCCATTTGTTGCTTAGTCACATTGTATTAATATAACTATTGGCAGATCCAAAATTTTTCTACACTTTTCTGAAAACTTGTCCTGTCTTTTTTCAACTTTTCATAAATATAAAATAGGTGTTATTATTGTGGTATTTTTCTCCAACTCAATTTTTATTTAGTCTTTCCTTTTGTTGCAATGGTGAACATGAACATTGCAATATACATTTTTTATCTATTAAAGTGCACTTAAAACATTTCATTTATTTCTTGAAGAAACCTAGAGGGTTTTAACTCCAATAAATCCTCTCCTGATATTTCATGATTATCGTCATATATTTTACTTCTACCCATATTTTAATATTACATGATCTTATTTTCCATTTCTAAGAGTAAATCTTTGCTCATAATTACGTTTATTTTCTTTGCAGTAATTACATTATTTCTGCAGTTCTTTGCTTACGTTAGTGATTTATATTCTGAATACCACACTTTAGTATTTTCTTTGTTTTATGCATAAAGGTTTATTTCATCTTCTTTTTTGAAGGATTTTTTTTTAGTTACGTATAAAAATCTAAGCTGAGTTTTTTTTTTCTCAGCTCTTCAAAACTATGGTTTTACTGTTTTCTGATTCCACTGTTCAAATTACAAATTTGACCACCGGTTTAAAGAATACTCTACTAACAGTAATGTGTATAGATTAAAACACCACAACATCACTTCTATGTGAATATTCTAAACATAAAACATCTCAACTTCCACAATGGAATATGAATTTGCTTATGACCTCATGGTAATGAGCTGGCAGTTATACTTTCTAGTTTCATAAGAAGAAATTGTTGAGAAAATGGAAGAATTCTGGCTTCTGGTAAAGATGGGAAATAGATAAGAGCAGAATACAGGGGCTCCCTGAGACAGACAACTCAGATGTAGAAATTACACATTGTGGGGAGTCCCAAAACAAGGAGATGGATACACTTAACCAGGAAGAAACTAAATGAAGAACCAGTCAAACACCCAGTCATGGGGCTACTATTGAGGCACCTAAGATTCTGTGCTCTTGCAGCCCAAAATCATGCCACTTTGACTCTCTGGAACCACAGTTGCAGGAGAAGTGCAGTCCCACTGAAACCATGGGTGGCAAGGTCAACAGAGGATGGAGCCAGCAAGGACCTGCATTGACCTGTGGTGAGTGCTGGGAACCAAACCCTTCCAAGGGAAAGGGGCACCAATGGGATGACATTTTGGAATCAGGCAGGACTGGCAAGAACAAGGAACAGCAGTGACTTCAGTCAGTTGTTTCCTTTCTCAGATGAGATTGATGGGGTTTGTTGACCTGGATCACACCCCTAGCTGAGACTCAATAAGTTGTCCCAAACCAATTCCCTACACGCCATGCACACTAAGGCAGTGCAGTCCTCAGAAGGTTGACTGACGATGAGGGGAGGAGCCTGCCTAAACCACCCCAGTTTGCACCTCAATAACATACTGACATGAGCCAGGTTACCTAGCCAGCACCCTTCAGAAGATCCATTACTAACAAGGAAAGGGACTGGGACCTCCTATATATGCATGTATGGAAGAAACTAAAAGCATAAGAAGAGAAAGCAACAAGAAAAAATCCCCAGCCCCCAATGCTGAGAATGTTGATCCAGGAGAGGTAAATACAAAAGAGACTGAGTACAACAAGCATGCAATATCAGACATGGCATCAGTGTACATAAAGAGATACCTTTGGGACCTCATAGATGAGTTCAAAAGTGAAATATATAACCACCGAGTGAAGCAAGATATAACTAGGTTAATAAAAGCAATGCTAAGCACCGCTCAAGAAGATACAGAAAGAAGAATGGAGGAACACAAAAAGAAGGAGACAAATGTTTCATGAAGAATTTAAAGAAAGCATAGAATACATGAAACATGTTCAGAGAGATTACCAGGAAATTAAAAACTCCATTGAAGCTGGCAAAACTGCTTTAAAGAAACTAAGGATAGATTATCCAACTGGAAGACAGATAAGAACCAGGATTCCAGGAACAGTGACAAAGACCCCTCAGTGAATAGAGAGAATGTAGAATGAAGAAGGAAAGCAGACAACTAACTGCAGAAAAAGAGCGCAACAGAAATGAGGCAGAGAAGGTTGGCTATAATCTTTAATATAGATGGCCTTGATACACCTTAAAAAAAGAAAAAAAGAGATACACAGGCAGAGTATATCAGAAGGTAGGGTCCACCCAGATGCTCTTTCTAGGAAATAAAATTAACCTGAAAAAGGGTTTATGGACTGAAAGTCAAACATGAGAAAACAATCCTCTATGTGATAGGAAACCAGAGAGTAATAGGGCCAACTCTATCAATATTTGTAGATAGGTTGGAAAGACAGGCTTTAATACATAAAGGAATAAAAAATGAGATCAAATCCTGGAGGGAGATGGTTCAGAATCACTTAGGTAAATAGTAGGTTGCCCTCCCAATCTAAAACCTGAGGGTGTTGGTGAGACCCAAAAATGCATAGTGCACCATGGGGGAGTGAAAGGATAGGAATAGTCTTTAAAAAAGACAGACTAGGATATTGTTAACAGTGTATCAGAATTTAAAATCCACATTATTCTGTTTAGATAGATTTTATTCTGTCCCAGTTTGTCTACTTGCACTAGGTCTGAGGGCACAGACAGCTTTCCCAAAAATGACAGGATATAGTACAGTAATCATCTTTAACTTCCTATTAACTTAATCTGGAGCCCTGTAAACTTATATTGCTCTATCATGACTGATCTTGGTTAAATCTGGTTTGTTTTTTTGATTGCTGTTTGGTATTAACAGATTTTATTCAAAACTGTTATGATTGATAGTATCAAGTCTGAGAGTATAGCATCAAGTCTGAGAGTATAGACAACTACATTGAAGATAACAAGATTCAATATGATCCCATTCTGGTTTGATTATTACCTGTTTGTGGAGTTTTACACTATCTACAAAGTTGTGTTTTTATTAATATTGTTACGTACTGCTATATTCAATTATAACATATCTGATGATATAGCCAATTCTACTGAAGATAACAAGATACAACACAGTAACTACTGTAGAACTCCTTGTAAAGTGGTTTTATGTGTCTCTTTCATTCCATGTGTTTACTGGAATTTGTATTTTTTGTCTTGCTTTGTTTCATTTAGCCCTCTAATATGGAAAAGATAGAAATAAATGTTAAGACTCATATATGCATAGAACCTATAAACAGGTAATAAGAACTGATCTAATAATGCATAATGAAATAAACAAATACTTTGAAGAAAAAGAGACACTACAATACCTAGTGCTGATCCCGTAGTGTCATGATGTGAAATTCAGCAATACTATTATTCTTGGTTCAGAGTGATTTTAGCCTGCTGCAGTTTGTTTAATCTCAAACTAAATGAATATATGGATAACTGCATGCATGTTGAAGTGTACAGGATTGATAACCATATTACTAAGTTTTTGTTAGATAGGTGAACAGAGCTGTGTGCAGTCTCACTGTTTGAATCTCAACTTTGTATGTTTCACTTTTGTAACTTGAACACCTATTTGAAAGAGAAAAATCTGTAGTCATCAACTAATGATTTATTTCTGTTTATTTTTTCTTTGAAATTATGTATTATTTCTACCCATTTTCTGTTCTGTTTAGTTATTCTTTAAATAAAAATTTAAAAGAAGAAAATGAAAGATTTTGGCAATAATGAGAATATACATTGAAATTTTCAAGAGCAAAATTGCAGTCAGAAAAAAGGAAACTATTATTAGAAAACAAAGCAACTTAGATCATCTGGCCCTAGTAATTAGTTTTACTAGCTTCATTTTCTATGCAATTACTCCAGTACCTCATTAGATTTTTAGTTTTTCTTGTTGTGGAGACACAATACCTGGTACCCAGAAGTGGAAGATTGAAAGCTTTATCTTGGTTAACGGATTTTAGAGGTTTTAGTGCATATTCATCTGTCTCCAAGAGCAACATGGCAGAGGGGCATCACAGAGGAGAAACAGTCCATGCCATGGAAGGCATGAATCAGCAAGGACTAACGGGAGGAGGAAGAATATATATATATCCAGGCCATGCATACAGTGATCCACCACTTTCTACCAGGTCTCATCTCCCAGCATTACACCCAGCTCTAAGCCCATAAGTGGACTAATCCAGTGAAAGCACATGAGATCCAGTGACCTTCCAAGAGCCCTACTGATGTTTTCATAAGGCTTTGGGAGAACGTCTAGATATAAACCATAACACAGACACTAAAAAGACTTGAATTATACAGAACAGTGCAGAGTGATTGGCATGCCTATAATTGTAATGATTTGTAAAAACGTAATGAGGTTGGACCACTCCTAATGTATACTTGGAAAGGCCCGATGAATATTCCTGGAAAGCTTCTTGCCTAAAAGGAGAGAGGAATCTGGTTTTATGTTTACCTTCCCATTACAGACAAGTAAGTTTTTTTCACATGTCGTAAGATTTGACGTCTTTAACACCTGAAAAAATCATTACAACGCAGTCTCGTATCTGCTTTGTTTTCACTCCATAGACAATAGGGTTCATGGTGGGAGGCAAGAGCAGGTAGATATTGGCCACAATGATGTGACAAGATGGAGGAATTGTGTGATGTCCAAATCGATGAGAAAAAAATGAGAAGAAAGCTGGACTGTAGGAGAAAACTATAGCACAGATGTGGGCAGTGCAGGTGCCGAAGGCCTTCTGCCGAGCGTCTGCTGAGGAGAGGCTGACCACTGCCCGCAGGATCATGGTGTAGGAGACTGTGATGCACAGAATGTCAAAGCCTCCAATAAGGAGGGCAACCAACAGGCCATAGATAGCATTGACCCTGATGTCACCACAGGACAACTTGGCCACAGACATATGGTCACAGTAGGTATGAGGGATGATATTGCCTCTACAATAGGGCAGACGCTTGGTGAGGAAAGTGAAAGGAATAACGAGCAACACTCCTCTCAGGAAGGTGGCAAGACCAGACCTTAGAATCACAGGATTGGTGAGAATGTTTGAGTAGCGCAGAGGATAACAGATGGCCACATAGCGGTCCAGGGCCATGAGCATGAGCACCCCAGACTCCATCCCTGTGAAAGTGTGGATGAAGAACATTTGGGTCAAACATTCATCAAGTCCAATTTCCTTCAGATGAAACCAGAAGATGCAAAGAGCCTTAGGGATTGTACTAGAGCACATGACCAGATCAGTTGCAGAAAGCATAGCTAAGAAATAGTACATGGGCCTGTGAAGTGAGTCTTCATGATGAATGAGGTAGAGCAGTCCACAATTCCCAGCCATGGCCATGACATACATAGAGAAGAATGGAAAGGAAATCCAAACATGCATGTCCTCCAGCCCTGGAATCCCATTAAGAATCAATGTAGATGGTGACAATTCTGTTTGGTTTAGCATTGCCAAGATTATGTTAGTGTGATCATTAATCACCTTATAGCATTGGTTAACTGTCCTACAGATGCAGAAGAAAAATCATGTTCGAACTCACTGTCAGTTTCTTTTATCTTTTACCTCAAGTGACATCTGCATGTTCAAATAACTAACTTGTTTTTCTGATTTTGAAGAAATATTAGCTTAAAATAATTAGTTTTTTCTGTGTATTGTTTTTAAATGCATTCACTTAGCAATATATTCAATAAATAATTTTTGGTTTTCAGTACTTGCACAGTCCTTTAATGGATGAACAATATTGCTTAACACAGATTAAGTGATTATTGTTTTTCTGAAATTTTTCTTGTTGGGACTTATTTAAATATTAATAGATACATTCATTTTTTGAAGAAAAATCAACATGCTAAATCAACAAACTCTAAACAAATCCTATTTTTAGAGTAAAAATATAGTAATATCTTTTGAATGAACCACCTGTTAATGGAAGGGAAATAGCACAGGACCAGATTCAACCAGACAATGCATGCCTCATATCATACTCTTAGAATATTATAGTCTTCTTAAAGAATATCAAGGGCTGGAGATTTAGCTTAGTAGCGTAAGCATCTGATTGGGAAATACAAGGTTGTGAGTTTGATCCCCATTATCCCCCCAAAACCCCAAGAATATCATTTAGAGGATGTATTTAAGTTGCAAGATTTCAGACATCATTTTTAGCAATAATTTTTAACAGTGCAAGCCAATTGAATGCTCTACAATTTATTAAAATATAAGTTAATAACAATGACTTGAAAAACACAAAATTAGCTAATGAGTAAAATTAAAGCATAAATGCATAAAATAAATTAAGTAAAATTCTTATCACAAAATTAAGATATCAAAAGTTTCAAGTTATATTAATAAAATGTTAAAGTGACAAAAGTCAGATCAAGTATATTGATTTTAAAGCTGAACATGGTGGCACATGCCGGTAATCCCAGCATTCAAGGGGCTAAGACAAGAGAGTTACTACAAGGTTGGGGTCATCCTGGGCTACATAGTGAGTTCAAGACCAATCAGAACTGCATAACCAGATTCTGCCTCAAAAAAAGAAGTATTAGAATTTGCGATGTTAAACTAAAATACTGAATTTCCTCTTGAAAAGACAATATCAATCTGTTAATTTCAATTCAAAATTATGTAAGGATTATAAATGGTTCTGCTATTAAAGGAAAACATGAAGTGAAATAATGCACAATTATCAAAGAAAACACGCCCAGAATTTGGAGAAGATTTTAGATGAAGTAAAAATTAAAGTAAGAGAAAGTTGGATCGAATTTGTTTTAATTCCAGGCAAAAGTTGTAGTAAAGGTATAATTAAAATTTCTTGTATGGGATGATAGTTGTATGCTATTTTTGATTCACTAGTCTCCATGATGCTAACATAGCAATCACTGAAATTTTCTTTTTTAGTTTAATAATCTACAGTAGACAGAAGCATTAATTAACATGAGAAATTTTCAAATTCAGGTCTTAAAAATGTTCTGATCTTCAATTCAATGTTACTGATTAACATTTAAGAGAACATTTACCTTTGTAACACTAAAAGTTGTATTTATATACACTTTAGAAAAACAAAATATAGAAGTCAGTTTTAGCGACAGTATTTTCTACAGGCTCAATTAGTAAAATTTGTTTTAAAATGTGTACATTATACATTTCAAATGGCTTTTGTACAACTTATTTACCAATATATAGATTGCTCTGTTTATTTTAAAGAAAAAAACAGAAAACTCAAGAAGCAAATGAACCTAAAAAACAACAATAATGAAAGCAAAAGGACAATAGCAACAACAACAACAACAACAACAACAACAAAAACAATAATAGCTATATAGGTTTTCAAAACCAGATGATAAGAATTTAATGATGGTTGTTATACTGCATATTGTTATCTTCAAAATAGTTGCTCAGGAATAATGAAGCAGGAAAATGGAACAAAACACTGGATATCAAAAATAAGACAAAAGGAAATCCCCCACAGTTGCCACAATGCACAATGCCAGCCTCCAAATACATGCCCAGACCACTAGCCCCAGGCCTATAAGATCAATCAAAAAACACAAACATCAAAATATTCCTTTCACTTCAGCTGCTATCATCTCACCTTGCGTTCCTGAATCAGTCAGGTGCTCACCAAGGCAAAGGGGAGCTTCTTCGGTTTTCCCAGCTCATGCGCCAGCCGATTCACCAGAAGACATGGTTTACCTCTTTCCTGAGTCTTTTCCGACTCCCCAGGGCAGATCCTGGCTTACAGGAAGGCATAGTTTGGCTTCTGGCTAAGTCTCTTCACACTCCTATCCAAAATGCAGTATCATTGTTGGAATGTCCACTCTACAAGCTTTGGTCTTGTGACTTGAACAATTATTTCTAAGATGGTAATATGTAATCCATTAACTAGTGATTTCCTACTGTTCATTTTTTTTTCTTCTGTAAATCTGTATAACTTGTACCCTTTCACTGTTTTTTTCCTTTTCTCCTTAAATAAAATAAAAAAAACCAAAATATAGATTTCTAATAGTTAAATATCTGATGAAGAATCACTTGCAATATTGGTAAGATTAAATCTGGAGATGCCTCCAAAAATTTCTGGCAATTTACATTCACTATTGTTTCTACTTAAGAACACACTTACTGTAGCCAGGTATGGTGGCACAAGTCTGTAATCCCAGCACTCAAGAGGCTGAGGCAGGAGGACTGTTGTGAGTTTGAGACCAGCCTGTGCAACAAAGTGAGCTCAAGGCCAGCCTCAATGCAAAAAAATGAAATAACTAACTAAATATATAGTTTCTATCTGAACAACTACTTTCAAGATAACCATACACAATATATTAACCATTGTTAATCTCCTAATATTTTGTTTTGAAATTTGGTATTGTCATTTTTATGTTTTTTGTTTTAAAATTTTAAAAAATGCAGTTACTCTGTTAACTTTTATCTATCACATTGACCTTTCTTTCTCAGTCTGTACCTGCCAATATCTCTCCATACAGTAACTATGAATTTATGTGGCTTCATTTTTAATTTGAGCCTATCATGGCAATTCTGAATAATCTTCCTATCAATTCTGTGTTACTATTTCCCTGATAAGAAAGAACAAAATAATTTACTTTCTATCAAAATGTATATCCCTAGCTCTACTGGGTTTTAACTGCATGTCCGTATAACAATGACCTGGAGATATTCCTGAAGCTTAGGAGTCCTCTAAAACGTGAATGGATAATCATAGGGATTACCTGTATCTAACCTGATAAAGTCATTTCCAAAATGAGAAACGTAACAAACATAAATAAATATTCTGTACATCCCTTTTCTGTGAGAGTAGCACTATTAAGGAATTGTTTAATTCTTACATTTAAACTTCAAGTCATAAGAAATCATGTAAATGTCGAACTAAACTATAAAAGCTTAAACAATAAGACATAGTACTATTTGCAAATTTAATCTGTTTTAAGATAAAATTTTTGGTTTTATTTTTCCTAAGGGCCTAATTCATTGTCTCTGTTTAGGAAATTTTACTGATACACTGCTGAGAGTTTCTATTACAATTAAAATTTTGTCATTTCTAGAGTTCAGTATGTCTCCCATTGACAGTCCTCACTTCCAAGTTTATAGGCAGTGTCTTTTTTTCCTACTATATAATTCTAAGTTTTATGACTCACAAAAATAGTTTCTATTGATAAGCATTGCCACAAATATATATGTATATGCATAACAATTTCTCCTGTTGTGGTGGCTCATGCCTATAATCTGAGCTCCTCAGGAAGGGGAGGGAAGAGACTTCATGTTCAATTCCAACCTGGGCAACATAGCCTAATGTTCTCAAAATTTAAAAGGAATGGGGATAGTAGGAATAGGACTGAGGGTATAGCTCAGTTTGAGAACTGGTGTTTGATCCCATGATCAATTTTTTGCCATCCCATGATGGCAAAAAATAAAAGGAAGAATTTTCTGCCAGATGCCTCCTACCAACTCAGGGAGACTCATAAATTTATAAGAAGAAGGCAAAAACAGACAGGTATTGATTGAAGTCAAACATGATCCCTGTGATTTATACTTATTATCCATATATTTTCCCTTACTCTGTGACAAGGTAGTGATTTATTCCAGACGTGAACTATTCCCAAAGTGAACAATCTTACATGGCTAAAACAACTATTCATAGAGAAGCATTGATATTATAATAATTTAATTTGGATTATAGTAGCAAACGTGGGAAATAAGTGTTTCCATTTGTACCTGTACCACTTCTGGTATTATATTTTAATTTAAACACGGATAATGGAAAAAATTCCTTTCTAAGGAAAAACAGTTATTATTCATCTCGAATCATTTTTTTCTTTTTTAAATGAGATTCTCCTGTCACTGTTACCTAGATTATTAGATTTAAATACCTTAATTCTGAAAGACAAAACAATGAGGTAAATTATACCTGGTCTGAGTTCTAAAAACCGTGTTCAGACATTACAGCTTGTTGATCTGCAGACTTTTGCCCTGTACTAGAAGAAAAATGAATATTATATGTCCCAAATATCCCAAGAGAACATTTTCAAGCATCAGGTAAATATTTCTGGAATTAGGATAATCTCCAGGGTGCCCAGTGATGACTAACAAACATGTAAATAATATATGTGAATAGAGTATCTCTATATGCATATATATACATAAGAATATGTATGTATATATGTATGAATATGTGATTTCTGTACATACATTAGAGGTGGAATATTTTAATAGAAACCAATGATTTAAGTACTGAAGGTGCAGGTTCCTTTGTAATAAATTTTTGCAAAATTTCTGGGGCACCACATTGAATGCTTTGCTATTGAAGTAATATGTGTTTTAAATTGTTAATAATGTAAATGTCCAGGTAAATTCTTTTACTAGAAATTGAACCATTTATTATATAAATAAAATTAAATGTTTTTACAGGTGGGAGCTTTTTTAGACTACATAGAACTTTACCAAGTAGACTAACATAATTTACTTATTTTTGTATCTTTTCTATTTTATTTTTTATTT